ATGGTTTGATCACATAACCATCGAAATCAGAAAATAGCAACGTAATGTCAGAAAAAACAATGATTTATATCTCGCACCAATTGCTGAGCACATCTTAAAGTCAGCTTCGAATGTAACTGAGATTAAGCAAGAAAAGTTTATAAGAAAACACTCAGCTTGTGTTTTTATGAAAGTTAGTAGTTACTGGTAGTTAAATTAACTACTGACTATTCCAGTTAGTAGTTAGAATAACTACTAACTGAAAAGAAGTTGAGTTAGTGGCATAACGGAACTTTTTTTAACGGAACTCCGACAGCCCTAGTCCTAGTTATCAATGCCACGCTCCCTAACTAGGATATCCTAGTTATAAACGTAACGCTCACTAAGGAGGATATCCTAGTTAGGTCGAGAACATAGCCAAAATTTTGCGGTCCATAACTAGGATATACTACTTAAGGAATTTGGGTTTAAGAACTAGTTGGACTGCTAAATAATTCGCTACTCTATTCACAGTAAAAGCACCTCGTTGGGACGTAAGTATGTCGTTGGGCGAGCTGTAGGCGCCCATTTGTGATCAACGCTTAGAAAAAGTACTGATTGTCCACTGATCTCGCGAAGCAGAGGGACAACGCGAGAAAGATTAGTTTCACAATTAGCTGACTAGCTTTTTTAGGTTTTCTCGAACCGGGAAAGGAAAATGCGCATACCTCGGTCAATTTTGGGCAAAGTTCTCTAAAGAAATTTTTTGTCATGGCAGTTTTGTGTGCTGATTTCGAATAAGTAACAAAAAATGTAGGTCAAAGATTTTCATATTATAGCAAAACTTGACACGCTGGTGTACCCTTTCTTGATTACTTGAAACCACTATACGCTTGATACAGTCTCATTCTGCGTTCAAAAAGCGCTGATTGCTTTTAATGAACCTCAGGAGCTTAAAACGTCCTAGAAAAAAATTGATCTCATATTTATTCGGACAATGCGCGGAAAAATTGATCTTACACTATCTCGGACGGCCTGAAAAAAATTTGAACTTAGACTACCTTGGACGGCCCAAAAAAATTTGAGCCTCACCCCATTTGAAAACGTTCCTACACCTCTTTAAGAGAGGAGTGTACGTTTATAGTTTAAGTGGATTTTGTCCGATGTGTTTTTGTTTATTCAATTTCTCAGTCGGATAAAGTCCTAAGACAAAAATTTTTTGCCATTAAATTGGCCATAAGTTGAAATATATAATACGCTATCAAAATCTTGAAAACTGAAGTGTCGATATTTCACCTAATTTCCGCCTAACTGCCCACTGTGCGCTGGAAGCTTTTTCTTTGTGAGAGAAACGAAGTTTAAAACCCGTGCCGTTTTATCAGTGAGTATAAAAATAGTAAAAGAATTATTAAGATTCAATAAACGAAACATCAAAGCTTTTTCAAGTCATAGTTAAGTTCGGAGATTAACCAAGTTCGAGTCAAGTCTTTTTCAAGACATTATTAAAACTTTCAGCTTTTTAAAATATTTCATTTCTTCGCCAATTCCAATATTCAAAACACAGTAACAGTAAAGAAATTACACAACAATGTAAGCTGAAAACAATAGGAAAAAAACTAAAATTTCTCTTTCATGATGTCGCATAGAATGAAAAAACATAGGGAATGTACAACATTTACTTTAAAAAAATGCTGTCAAACTTAACCCCATATTATATTTCAACATCGTAATTTCTCTCACGACCTAAATAAGGACGGAAGAGAAATCCGCATTGGGAAAAATCCTCGGCAATAAAAACCCCTTCTACTGAAACTGACGCTGCTTGAAATAATAAGAATTTCTATATGAACCATGTCGTATTACTTTCAGATGCTTCTCTGAGTAAGATCATTTCATCGCCATTGCACAATCTTTTTTCCCTTTCTGCATATATCTATATACATATGTAGCCTTCTTGCCCTGTCAGTTTAGTTACGTGCTTTTGAGTTTTCATCTGATTTCCGTGTTATTGTGCAGCCCTTGTCCCCTTTTATAAGTTTAATTGTTTTTCGATTGATTTATTTTTTTTTTATTGAACTACGACTTATTATCAAGGTATTACAATGGACGAATGCTTAGATGAATACATTGAAACAGCGGAAGATTCCATCAAAATGTTAAGCGATTTGATAGATGATATTAATGCGCACCATGACAGATGCAATGCTGCCAGAGCAGTGGGAACAACGGCTTCGGTTGGAGGTGGACTATTGACTATCGCATGCGTTTGTGCAGCACCGTTTACCGGTGGGACCTCTCTTGTCGGTCTAACTGGGGTGGGAATGGCTACAGGATTGGCTGGTGCAGCCACAAATTTAGGAACAGAAGTTGTTGACATGATCTGGACAAAGAAGTACCACGATGAGTTACTTGAAATCGACAGAAAAAGAGAAAGTGTTACAAGTAGATTGAATATGTATCTGGAGCAAATTGAAGCTAAAGCTGCAGAAATTTACGAGGCAAGTGGAAATGAGGAAGAAGCAACCAAAGAAGCTCTCGTATTTTTGATAACCACTGGTAAGATAGGTTGGAAAGGTAAGCAGTTCGCTGGAGTAGCCGCAAATATTGGCCGAACAACTAATGGTACGCTCTTGCGAAATGGAGGCAAAGTGTGGAAAGGCATGCGAGTTAATTCTAATTTGCTCTCGTCAGCTCTCAAGAAAATCGGCTTTGATGTTTCAAAACGAGCAGCGTTCAACCTGGTGAAAGGTGCTACAGTCGTCTTCAGCGCGGTCTTCATTATCTGGGATCTCAAGTCTCTGGCTGACAGTCTCAATAACAGCCATCCTGCTATCGGGGTTGTGGAGGCACAAATCAAACAAATTCGAGAGCAACTGGAAAACATGAAAAACTTGAGAGACACTTTGAATGGCGAAGACGATGATTAATGATGATGGATTATATCCGCGAGACTGTATTTTTGTGCTTCTGTCATGATTCTGGTGAAAGTTACCAGAAAAAACTTAAACTATTTACTTTCTAATTACATACTTTTGAATTTTGCTTTACCGAATTTCTTTCCGTTGTTTAGTAGAATATGATGATTTTTGTAATAACTTTTCATTTTTCTTAATATACATTTGTCGATGCAGTGCCACAGATATCACAACCTGGACGAGCGTTTTGTACAATAATGAAGTGTTTCAAATTTCTGCTTATTTTGAAAGCTCTCAACCACTGGAATTCTGGAAAGGTTGTGATTTTTCATTGCAAACCCAGATGCAAGCACACTCCCAGCTGCGAAGCAAACGTATTTTGCATCAGGTAGAGCCACTACACGTGGAATGATAAGGGACCAACATGAGGGTCTAGCTTGAAAACCCAGGACAACTTTTGAGAGCCGCCAGTTATGTAGTAAAACATTGTTAAGTGCCAGAAGTTTTGAAACACCAACGATATTAACGACATGATAACTAGAACGAAATCTTATTACCCTTCCGCTTTGACAGCGGCTGCGTTATGTAAAAAGCTTGTCAGCGTAGATCTAATGGTCTAAATGTGAAACTACTCCCATTCTCGCGTTTAAATTCGATGAAGTCTTGTCTTCTCCAATTTCCGTAAAGATCTATAACTCGGAAAATTTGTAGGTCGATAAAAAATGCCACCACAGGCTTACATTTTATGGCACCTAGAGCGTTACATCCTTAGGTTGCGTATGGCACCTACGCCTTCCAAGAAAAAAAATTTCAAGTTCCTGAATATGCCACCTAAGCGTTACACTTTATGGCACCTAGAGCGTCTCATCCTTAAATTCGAAATCCACCTAGAGGAATAAGCCCTTGGGCCGCATATATGGCACCTTGAGTTTACTAGCGAAAGATTTCTAGGTCCCTGAATATGCTACCTACAGCGTAAGACTTTATGCCACCTAAGCGTTACATTTCAGATCACCTAGAGCGTCACATCCTTAGGTCACATATGGCACCTAATTGCACACCTGAAAAATTTCTAAGTCCACAAAATATGCCACCTAAAGCGTTACACTTTATGCCACCTAAGCGTCACATCCTTAGGTAGCATATGCAACCTAAAGTCGTATATAAACTTACACTACTCTCTTCTGTTTCATAGAAGACACATGCATTAGAGTAGTTTCACAAAAATCTTCCAGTTAATTAAGCCTTACCAGGCTTCAAAAAAACGTCCACGATAGTTGGACTCACACTTTTTGCCACTTGTCATGCCACCTGCCCTGTATTTCGTTATTTATTTTACTTCATTTACCCACGCTGGTTTATTCACAATATGAATTACTGACCATTCGCATTTAAACCTTTCGTCAACTGAACCTCTGTCGGTTCTGTAGAAGACGGTCGGACACAATACGATCATTATAAGCACGTTAGGGCGATCCACCGAGAGTTTCAAAGTCGACTCATTCTCAGTTTCCATTAAGTTCAGATCAGCATCTTGCTGGTTATGTAATTTCCCTTGCTGTAAATCGGTAGAACTAAATGATTTGAAGCGAAAAAAATACAGTTCCCCCTGCCCTATGGTAAATTGACCGCTGGGTTTGTTTAGACTTTATAGTAAAAACGTTTGAGTCAGATCGGAACAAGTTTTGGTAGGCTAAGAAAACGGGACAGTGAACAACCAAGTTATGCAAAGAAAACGCTCAAAAAACTCTTCGTAAACTCATGAAGTCCAGAAAAAGGTCGTATTCGATTTTTGAAAACATCATTTTATAAGAATTCGGAGTTTCGATCTTCGAATAACTTATTCAAAAATAAGGGTTTTGCGCTATCCTTGAGCAATAATTTCACCTTGGTGTAGTCCAACAATCTACACGAACTCCACTTTTGACTACAAACTTTGCAAAAGTGATTCTAGTGTGTTGCTTTCCTAGACATCAAACACGTTCTCCGTTTCGCGGGTGAAAAGGAAAGAAGACAGGAAATCTACTCGTTCGCTTTGAAAATTGAAATATTCGATAAATTTAGAAAAACACAAAGTACAACAAAGAGACTACCTTCTACTACTTTGCAATTTCTTTGTGTAAAACCCGCCACCGCCTCTCTCTCTTTCTCTTTGTAACATTTCCGATCTTTTATCAGCTTCGTAGGCAGCATTGTCGTATGCATCGGTGTCCTCAAAGTAATCATCCTCATCTCTATGCTTGCGCGAATGACCACCGCCTGTTGTTTTACTTTTTCGACGCTGTCTCTCTGCTATAGACTGATGTGAGGAGGCTTTTCTTGCTAAAGGACGTGGAGATTCGTCGTACTGATCTCTTGCTCTATTGCCATACTTTCCAGACTTCTGCAGATCTTTTCCTAACTGAGATTTAGTGCGTTTTACTCCGCCAATTGTAGCTTGTGACTTTCGTCCCTTGAGTTCGTTAACTGTGGTCGTCGATTTTCGCGGAGTTTTACTACCTGATAGACCATTGGGACTCGTTTTCTTCTTTGTGTGTGTTTTTGTGCCGCCGTTCACTGTCGAAGGAGAATGTCGACGAGACGGTTGCTGAGATCCTGATACAGAACGATGTTTCGTCATGCCGCCACTCCCTCCCAGCTCTCCGTCGACCAACGTATTTCTTCTCAGTTTTTGTTCTTTTCCACTGTCGTCAATTTGTTCTTGGATTGGAGGTGCCTATACACCGGGTTTCTTTGCCTTATCATCCTCGTAAGCTTGTTTCTGATTCAATTTTCGACTACTAAGATCATTTTGTTTCTGTACAGGTTCATACATTGCTTTCAAATAGTTATTATAGTTACTTTGAGCTAGCTTTTCATCTTCTTTAGTACTTAGAATAGAATATTTTTTCTGAAGTTTCTGTCTAACGTAAAAAGAAAGAGAAAATGCAACTCCTTTAGTGATTAACGGCTTTATACGAAGTACAAAGAGAGTCCAGAGGCGTAGGAGCCTCTAGGCGGGGTAAGGCTCAAGCCTTACCCGAAATCGGCTGGCCTAGGCTCAGCCTTATCCCATTTGAGGAAAAACGTTGCGTCTACCATCCTCTCTTAGATGAACAAAGAGAGCTTGAACACAAAAAAAAAAGAAAAAAGAGCAGTGTTAAATCTATCTGAAAATGGCAAAAAGTCGTTTTGGATGACCAAAATTCTCCGAAAACGGGATCTAGTCCAGGTGATTACCAAAATTCGTCGAATCTTTTTCTCGCTAGTTTTCCAAATGATACTTTTTCAGACTCAGTTTTTCGCGCTGATTCCAAATGTGCATGCGATTTCGAGTCTGAACGGAGCTGTGGTGAAAAAAGCCAAAAATCCAGAAAAAAGCGCATAGAATGAGGCGATTCTACCATTTTGTTTCCCCGTTTTGAATATTATAAACCTCAAAATTCGTAATCAGCCTGTAATTGATTTTTTCTATAAGATTTCGCTGAAAATCTTTGGCCGGCTTACAAACGGCTTCAAAAAATCAGGAACTTGCAAAAAAGCCCATTTTTAAAACAGCGTTTCCGCGGAGTTATTATTATTAAAAATTCAGTTTTGGGCAACAACTCACTTTCAAGTACATTTCTAATGCAGTTTTACACGTTCTTCCATTCAAAATGTAGATCGAAAAGAACGCAAAAATCTTGACGGAATTATGAGCTAGTTACTGAAAAGTCCCATTTTGTGAAACTGCTCTAATATCTATATGTCTTATATTGAAAATATAAGAGAGTAGTGAAGTTTAGAGCCTAGAGTAACTACTATCCATTTCAAAAAAGAAGAAGCACGGCCATTTCTTTGAAAAATTTTTTCTAAGAAGCAGCTAAAAAGGTGCGGTTTTCAGTATCGGAAAGCGAAATGTTGGGGTAATATGAAAAACTAAAAATTTTTGTCCCAAAACTACCTACAGGTGGTGCACCTT